TCGACTCCTTGACCCTGCCTGCGGAAGCGAAAGGCCTGGTTGCCACCAAGGCGGCCCACAAGAGCGCGCCGGCCACAGGCGGCGTGACCAGCCCGGCACGGTGGTGCTGCACAAGATCCGCCGCTACCGGAAGTCCACGGAGCTGCTGATCTGCAAGCTGCCCTTCCAGCGCCTGGTGTGCGAGATCACGCAGGACTTCAAGACCGACCTGCGCTTCCAGAGCCCAGCTGTAGGCGAGCGAGGCCTACCTGGTGAGGCTCTTCGAGGCACCATCATGCATGAGGACATCCAGCTCACCTGGCGCATCCATGGGGAGTGCACCTGAGGCCACAGCCCATCTGCTTTTTTCTTCCGATTAACATCATGTTGGTAGAGCACCAACAACTGTTATAAGAATGTTCTTGTTCAGAGCACCTTATGTTTTCTATTCGAGTTTTCTATTGAAGATTGTTCTATTTGAGTTTTCTATTGAAGATTGTTATATATTGTTATATTTTACCTAATTTAATTGTGCATAGGGAGGGGGGATATGTGGTAGTGAGGGTCTGGCGCCCGGAAGATATCGCGTTGTACGGGAAGACAGGGTCCCCCTCCCGATAGCCAATAGCGTTGAGTGCCCAGGTTATATAAGGCTGTTTCTCCCACCAATAAACGCCATTTGCCGTCCACCACATTGGTGTCAGCGAGCCGATGGACCGAGCGGCCTGGGATTGGTCGCCGTGCCGTTCCCGAACCAGGTCGCCACGCCTACGATAGGCAACACTACAGGCCTGTGGTGGTACTTGGAGCAGCCACAGAGCACGGAGCAGGGCTTGGAGCCACCACAGCAACTGGCACAGGCCTCAAAGCAACCATAGGCACTGCAGTGAGGGCTGAAGAAACTGCAGGGCCTATCACAGAAGTTGGAGCAGCCGCAGGGCCTGTCACATTGTCATCAGAGATAGAGACCTTCTCTTCTCTTCTCTTGAGTGTCCTGAATAGCATTGATCGGGGTACAGAAGGCATAGGCCAAGCGCCATACCACTGCAGTGATGGCTGTCTCTCTACAGTTGACAGAGTGATGGCATATCTGCTGCAAGTTTTTCTGGACCCAACATGTTCTGGACTGCAGTTCCAAAGCACTGACCATGTCCAATCTTCTCAGGGCCTGCTAATATCCTCCCACACAGCCTGACACTGCAATATGGTAGATCTCTGGCTTGTATTAATACAGAGCTGCTTAAACATAGACAAAAACAGAAACATATTCAGGAGACACAGCTGTAG